GGCAGTGCTAAGTTAATGGTTGGGCTTGATGATCTGAAAGGTCTTTCCCAACCAAAACAATTATATGATTCTATAAAATTAATCCTCTTTCCCAACCAAAACAATTCTATGATTCTATAAAATTAATCCAGCTAAGCATATAGAAAAAAATGCTTACCTGATTTATATCTTGTATAATTTCAGTAAATTCAGATTGATGACTTGCTAGTACCATGGATTTAAAGTATCAGATGGCAAAGGAAGGGTGAAGGAATTATTATTTGGATACTGTTGGAATTTTGTGAATTGCAATTACCAACTAGGCAATATCTCATCTTTCAAGACATTTAAAAAATAATACACTGAGGAAACTACATGAAAAGATTTTAGACAGTTAAATTGTTCCACAGTCCTAACACAACGACAGGCTAAAGCCTATGCTAAATGGGTCTTGGGCCATCTCAGTATACACTCAAACAGTACTCTGTACCTACGTGTAGGCACTGAACTGAAAACTTGATTCCTTTTGAATGTGATGGGAGGTGACACACTCAGCTCACACCTAATCCACAGGTCGAGGAAAGTGGTTATCCCCTCTATTCAGCACTCATTATACCACATCTGGAATACTGCCTTCAGACAGGGAAGGTGTTGATGAGCTTGTGTGAGCTCAGTGTAGGGCCATGAAGATGATCAGAGGGCTGGAAGATGTAACATGGTGGAGGAACCTGAGTGAGCAGGGCTTGTGCACTGCACTACTGGGATGCAACAGTAAAGGGTGTGGTAAAATAACTGTTTTCATAAAATAGAGTAAACCCAGGAATATAGATAGTGAGGAAATCTTAGGTCCATTCCAGTTCTGGGAATCCCACTTTTGCATAGCACCAGATAGACATCAGATGTATCTTCCCCCTGCACAATGTACAGATGCCATCTGTGGAGAGGTTCCTCCTCCCTCCTATGCTATAACTTCTCATAGGCTGGGCCATCATCTCTGTCATAACATTCAGCAGTGCCAGCACAGGCTTTAAGTACAAGGCTTGCTAGAGCAGATATGTCCTTTTCAAGTCCACTAACTCCTCAAATACAAAATTTTCTATATAGCTCCCAATACAGGTTGTTCAGCCTGCAGGAGAGACAGCTTCAAGGGACCTAACAGTGTAATCTGGGACCTATGGAGAGAGCCTGGCAAGACGTCTGAGCCAGAATTTTACTGGGGTCATGGCAGAAGAATGAAAGAAAGTGGTCAGAATCAGGGAAGAGTCTGGTGGCACATAACGAAAGCTTTCTTGCAATGAAAATAATTGTTTGCCACTGGTTATCTGGGGAGGTTTTGGAGTCTAAGCTCTTGGAAGTTTTCAAGACCTGACTGGACAAACTGTAAGTAAAATGGTCTGAATTTGGTGTTGTCTCTGCCTTGAGTAGCTGTGTGATTCTGTAATTTTAAGCAGATGCCTAAATTTAAGACTTAATCTGTGAGCTGAATCTCTCCCTACTAGCTAACCAACAAACTAGCAGTCCACACTGAGAAAATTTGCAGCAATTAATTAAAGTGTTCCTCCCACACTACTGAAAGTAAATAACTTAGGAAAGAATTTAACTTGGACAGTTATAGTTTGGAATGAAGCAAAGCTGGGCAGCAGGAGAAGGTCACTGTTGGAGTAAAAGAACAGCTAAGAGTACTTAAACATTATAATCTGTCATCCTGTTTTTCTTTTCTCAGTGAGTTATATTCCCAAAGTGGATACAATTTCAATATTACATTGTCCTGAATGTCTGCTAGCATGGATGAAAAAAGATGGAAAGGGCAAAATTATAAAAGTTATGAAACCATTAATAGATATTGAACTGATTATTTACCAGATGGAGTAGAGTATGACATCATTAGGATGATTTGTCCAAGGAGGGCTACCTCCCTTTCTATAAATATGGCATAGGCTACTGGTTGCACAGTGTGCTTGCCCTTTAGCCTGTGTCCACAAGCTGGGTCTGATACCCATCAGCATGTCTGCTGCCCAGATGCTGTGTGCTGTGTGCATATGTAGGTCTAGGAAGAGTTGCATGTTCCCAGAGATCCTGTTGAACTATTCTAGTTGTAGATAATAAAGCAAGTTTACCTGAAATTAATATCTACCCATACATTATGCATTGTGAAAATCATACAAATACATGTTTCTGCTACTATATTCTGGTTAGTCTTCCAGAAGTATCCCAGAAGTGACTTGTATTGTGTATTCTGGTCTTCTTACATGTAATTCTTTAATAAACTTTCAGATAATGAAATGTAAGTATATTTTTATCCCCCATGCATGATCCTGGGCTTAGTTTCCTATTCAGTATGTTCCTGTTCCAACTCTCTTAGTCCAGCTCTGCCTAGATATACGTGTTTACTCTGTATCTTGCTAGAAGAATAAAGATCCCACCTGGCTTTTTGTTACCTCATGGAGTGAGGATGGTCAAGGTAAATGATTTTGGAGCACAGAACTGAAATGTTTGTCTCCATTGAAAGTAGAACTGGAAATCAGTCAGCCTTCTCTACAGCACAGGGTTTGTCATCAGTAAAACCTCATCAGAGATTCCTTGTCTGTGGCCAATTCAGTTACTCTTCTGCTTCTGAGTGAAGGGAGAGTGAGGGTAAAAGCAAAGCTATTTGTTCCCTTGAAATCTTGCCATGCTGTTTCCCACTGATCAAGATAAATTCCAAACTGGGCGGAAAATTAAAGGGAACAGCCTCAGGCATCTAAGTTTCCTACAAATAGGCTTTCTTTTAGGAAAAAATGATCAGGTGTATTAGATTAAGTTGTTGTGGTTCATGCTCTTTGCAACATGGCCTTAGATAAAAGCTGTTGTAGACTCAGGCAGCCGCAGCAGTGTTCAGCCAAGTCTGGATTATGGGTAATTATAGTTACTGTTGGTGGCAACATTTCCTGAGATTGTTTATCTTGTCTGCTGTCTGTTCTAATAGTCTTACCCTCATTTGAAGTATTAATATCAGTCCCATGGTGTGGTGGAAGGGGGAAAGAGGGAGAGAAAAGAGATTACACTGTTTTTATAAACTGTTGTACTCTACCTCAGCATCTTATTAATGAATTTTAACCTTCCCTTGTTGATACATGAAAACATTTAGTGCCAAAAAGATAGTAGTCTGTTTGTGAGACTCCTGAGCTGGTTTTATAACACAGTCTTGATAACAATACTTAATCATTGTAAGTGCAGTATTACATCCTATGCCTGTAGCATGGACATACTTTTAACCCTATCAGTTTCCTCTTCACAAAGAATTCAAATTACCATTCTACTAGCTATGACCAAAAGGATAGGGGTGCTCTAGCTTCAAACAAGATTGCATACAAATATGTGTTATCCTTCATATTAAATGAATTAATTTTATTAAATCTTGCTTTTGTGATTAAGAGGGCAGACTGAGGGACAGCAAATTAAATCTGCCACTAACAGTATGCAAAATCATACTGGAAGGCTGAAGAACAATTAAATTCTTATACTCATAATACAACTTACTCCACAAAAATAAGATACTCCGCTGAAAAATGACCTGCCAACCTTTAGCACTGTAGTGGAACAGAGACCCTTGGAAGTAATTTCAGTGTAGAGCCCTTCATCTGGATTTCCCACTGAATTTTCTCTTATCTTTCTATTACATTTTCAGTAGACTCACAATCACATTAAAAGTAACTTATTTCACACGTTATTTTTCATTTTGTTGAGAAAAAAACTCTGAGTCTTGACCCTGCCTTGAAATAAAACCATTATTTTTAGGGCAGTTCAGTTTTATTTTATTATTATTATTATTATTATTTTTGAGAATCAGGTGACTCCAAAAAGAGAAGAAAAAAGCTATGGAAAAATGCATTTCTTTGTCTCTGCTGTATTTAGGATGTGGTCATTGCCCCAGGAGCCTAGAGAATTGCAGTTATGATGTGCCTGAGCTCAGGGGCCCAACTTTCCGTATTACATTTTCAGTAGACTCACAATCACATTAAAAGTAACTTATTTCACACGTTATTTTTCATTTTGTTGAGAAAAAAACTCTGAGTCTTGACCCTGCCTTGAAATAAAACCATTATTTTTAGGGCAGTTCAGTAGTTTTATTTTATTATTATTATTATTATTATTTTTGAGAATCAGGTGACTCCAAAAAGAGAAGAAAAAAGCTATGGAAAAATGCATTTCTTTGTCTCTGCTGTATTTAGGATGTGGTCATTGCCCCAGGAGCCTAGAGAATTGCAGTTATGATGTGCCTGAGCTCAGGGGCCCAACTTTCCGTCTACGTATAAACATTCCTCCTGTTTCAGCTGAAGCACTGCTGGATTGCATTAAAAAATCACTTGCAAGAACTCTCCTGAGTAAGATCATTTAAGCAGGATTTTGGCCACAGCTATTTACAAGTTCAGGTCTTGACTGAAGTAATTGAATTACGCTGAGCTTCTGAAGTTTGCCTTTTATTTATATATTTCCCCCAATTGTGTGGCTTGCTCTGCCATTTGCTGCCGTACCTTCCGCCTACCCCAAGGCACTGAA